GCACACTCGAGCATATAAGGGCGAACAGTCTTCACATGATTGTTGTTGTTGTTGTTGTTGTTGTTGTTGTTGTTGTTGTTGTTGTTGTTGTTGTTGACGTTGTTGTTGTTGTTGTTGTTGTTGTTGTTGTTGTTGTTGTTGTTGTTGTTGTTGTTGTTGTTGTTGTTGTTGTTGAACTCTCATTCTTGAAGAATAATTATTGTTGGTCCCCCCCACCGGTGCACATTATTTTTTTCAATTGAAGTGCCCCCCCCGGGGCTCGCATCTTGTTTTTTGTCAAGCAAAGTCTTCCTGCTCAAACTGGCCCCCTGGCCCCCAGATTACAACAACAACGGCTCCCGCTTGAGACTTCCTCACAATTTAGCCAGGACCCCCGCTCCCGCCCCAGACTTCCTTGCATTTTATTTAAGAATCGCGCTCTCGCTTGGGACTTCCTTGCGATTTATTCAGGAATCGCTCCTCCTGCGCTCTGGAGTCGCGCTCTCGCTGGAGACTTGCTTGCAATTTGCTGAAGAATAGCGCCCTTGCGTTGGAATTTCTTGCAATTTACTCCAGCGCCGCGCTCCCGACACCCAGGCACCCAGGAGTCGCGCTCACGCTTAGGACTTCTTCACAGATTACCTAGGAATCGGGATCTCGCTGCCCTTCGTGGCCCCGTTGCAGCCCTTCGTGGCCCCCTCGCTTTGTTTCGTGGCCCCGTTGCAGCCCTTCGTGGCCCCCTCGCTTTGTTTCGTGGCCCCGTTGCAGCCCCTCGTGGCCTCCTCGTTGCCCTCCGTGGCCCCGTTGCAGCCCTTCGTGGCCCCCTCGCTTTGTTTCGTGGCCCCGTTGCAGCCCTTCGTGGCCCCCTCGCTGCCATTCGTGGCCCCGTTGCAGCCCTTCGTGGCCCCTGTTGCAAGCCGTCTTGGCCCCCCTCGCTGCCCTTTCGTCGCCTCGTGCAGCCCTTCGTGGCCCCTCGCGTTGTTTCGTGGCCCATATATGTATGCCCTTCGTGGCCCCCGCTTGTCGCGCCCTCCCGTGGTGGCCCCATATGCATGCTTTTGTGGCCCGCTGTCGACCTTCGTGGCACCCTCGCTGCCCTTCGTGGCCCCGTTGCAGCACTCAGTGGCCCCGTCCGTACCCTCCGCGGCCCAACGTACGTATGCCCTTCGTGGCCCCCGCTCGTTCGCGCCCGTGGTGGCCCCATGTGCATGCCCTTCGTGGCCCCGCTGTCGCCGTTTGTGGCCCCCTCAGTGTCCTACGTGGCCCAGGTGCTACCCTCAGAGGCCCCATCGGTGCCTTCTGTGGCCCCGCATTATCTGCCCTTCGTGACCACGCTCGTTCGCGGTCATCGTTGGTCACATACGCATACCTTCGTGTCCCCGCTGTTGCACTTCGTGGCCTATTCGTGCATCTGATGTCGTTCCCTTCTCTCGCTCTCGTTTCGCTTTCGTCCTCGTCGTCGCCTTCGCCGTCAGTGTGTGTGTCGAGTCGTCGTCGTCGTCGTCGTCGTCGTGGTCGGTCCCTTGTCCGTCCCTCTTGGGGTCGGGTCGACGGTCCGCGGCCGCCCCGCCGATCAGCGCTGCCCCTGGCCAGGCCGACGGTCCGCGGCCGCCCCGCCGCTTGCCGGGGCCCGGCCTGCAGGGAAGAAAGGTATACCCCCCAAAAGGGGTTCGATCGAAGACGAAAAGGGCGGGTATCGAGGGTTTGGGAAATTCGCGTTATTCGACACTCGAGCAGATAAGGGCGAACAGTCTTAAACTGATTGTTGTTGTTGTTGTTGTTGTTGTTGTTGTTGTTGTTGTTGTTGTTGTTGTTGAATATTATTCCTTCTAAAGAATTATTATTGTTGGGACCCCTGGTGCGCGACCTCTGCGCCGCGCCTAGGCCGCAGCTACATTTTCATCATTTTTTCGCGAAAGCTTCAGAAAAGTGGATTATGTCCGGATCCGGTTGTTTTGTTGATCCGTTTTCCCTTGCAAAAAACAATAGAAAATGAAAATTCTTGTTCTTACTTGATCAAATTGCAAGAATCCCTTGCAAAAAATAAGGTAAAGTGGACATTCGTGCGCGCAAGACGAAATCCTTCCAAAACCTTAGGTTTCGTAACGATTTTAACATAAAAACATCAAAAACCCAATGGTTTTTTAAGAAAAAATTGTCAAAATGTCCTTCCGCGCGCGCTGTCCGAATCCCACGAAACCAATGGTTTTTCAACATTTATGTTACATGAGCTCGCGCGAGCTACTTTCTTGTTCTAACATAATCAAATTTCAATAATCCCTTGCAAAAAATAAGGTAAAGTGGACATTCGCGCGCGCAAGACGAAATCCTTCCAGAACCTTAGGTTTCGTAACGATTTCAACATAAAAACATCAAAAAACCCACTGGTTTTTCAAAAAAAAATGTCCAAATTTCATCCGCGCGCGCTGTCCGACTCTGGTTTTTCAACATTTATGTTACATGAGCTCGCGCGAGCTACTTTTTCTTGTTCTAACATAATCAAATTTCAACATCCCTTGCAAAAAAAAGTAAAGTGGACATTCGCGCGCGCAAGACCAACAAAAAACACGACGATCTCAGGAACTTGCCCAAAAATGTGACCAACTCCGCTCTCTCTGTCTCTCTCTCTGTCTGCTCTCTGTCTCTCTCTCTGTCTGTCTGTGTCATGTATTGTATGTCACAATTGCAGGATGCTGGGCACACGCGCGCCCCGAATAAGTGACCAAGTTCTGTGGGTGTGTACCCCACGCCAGTGTAGTAGCCACGGTCGTCCGCACGCCACGAAGTGAAGTGTCCCAACGTCATAGGGCGGGAAGCTGGGTTTGGGTGGTCGCGAAGAGTCGTTTGGATATTTGGTAGAGCTTGAACTGCCCCCCCACGAAGTGGGGGTATTGTCTCGCGTCGCATGAAAACCCTGGCACTGGTGAGAACACTGAGCGTTCGGGTAAAATGATTGTTGTTGTTGTTGTTGTTGTCGTTGTTGTTGTTGTTGTTGTTGTTGTCCACCCCAACCCGCGCGCCGCCGCTCCAGCCCCCTGTCGGCCACGCGCAGGAGGGGGGTGTGGGGGAGGGGGGGAGGCTTCCGAGAAGCACACCTGCTTCTCAGAAGGCGCGGGCCCCCTTGTGCCCGCCGCCAGCGGACTTCGAGGTCGAGGGAGAACGCCGGGATCGACCAAAGCAGGTCCTCGGAGATCCGCGAGGCCGCAGGGCACTGCTCGGCCCACGGGCGCGGACCAGGCCCTTCGCGCGGGGCCCCTCCTGGCTCGGGGGCGTGGCACGGCGCGAGCCTCGGCGCGCGTGGGCCGGCGAGCGCGCGGCCCCGAGATCCTGATCATGGTTGACTTCATCCACAACTACCTCTACTGCATGTGGTACAGGACTCCGTGGTCCACTTCGATGCGATCGATCCGGCTCGACATTGATCTCGGCTGGCCCGGCTTCGATTCCGAGGCTGCGACGATCCGATGGGTCCTGACGCTGGCATGGCGCAGTTGTGCATCTTGGAGCGGCCGACTCGGCTTAGTTCTAGACGCTTCGCGATTGCAGACGATACATCGGCGAGTTGCTCTGATCAGGGATGTGTAGGAGCAGGCAGCGGAACAAAGGGCTGGGACAGCCGTTCTACCCCAACAGGGGGAGGATGGAGGAGGAATCGGAGGAGGAGGAGGAGGAGGAGGGGGAGGAGGGAGAGGGGAGGAGGGGGGAGGAGGAGTAGGCGGATGAGGAAGAGGTGGAGGAGGACCAGCCCAAGACGCATCAACGATGATACAATACACCTTTCCTCCAAATTCCCCCGTTGGTCCCTAGAAGAATTTGCTTGAATTGTGGGAAGCGGCCCAATTCTTGGGTCTTCAACGCTTCAGATCAACGTGGCTGTTGCGTCCTGGCAATCCTACCCGAACCCTTCGGATAAATAAAGCATACCCCTGAGAGTTGATTATCCCTGGCCCATACAGATTTGGTTGGGTGAGAGTGGCGGCAAGGCCGAACTTTATTCTCGCGGGGGACAGTTGCCTTATGTTGATTAGCAAAATAATCAAACACGTGTGGCATGGCAATGCGAGTCTCACCATTTCAGCTTTCGCAAGTCACGAATGTGTGGCAGGGCTATGGGATTCTCACCATTTCAGCTTTCACACGTCACGAACGTGTGGCAGGGCTATGGGATTCTTACTTTCTCAGCCCTTCCCGAGTCAGGAACGTGTGGCAGGGCCATGGTGACCGACTGGATTTGGAAATTAACATGCGTTTTCCACGTTTTCAAACATAGAAAAGTTGCCGTGCTGGCCTGGAACCTAAAGTGATACCTTGACGGTGACCAATGGGATTTCGGGTGACCAATGGGTTTCGAGTTGTGCCAGAACGCTTTTCTTGGGATTTCGATATTTTCGCGAATCAATGCTATTGCTGCGTCCTGATAACCGTTAATCGCACCAGAGCACTTGGGAATTCGACCGTACGAGTCCTTCACACTTTCAAGAGGCATGCTGCACATTTACCAAAAGAATGTGCGCTGCGCCAATCGATAACCACAGTTTGAAAGGTAACCGCCTTCCATCCTTGAGATGTTGCAAACGTTTAGGACGAATGTTCGTGGCGCTGAAGCAATCCATACATTTTGAAACGGAGCCGTCCTCCATCCGTAAAAGTGGTGAAAACGTGTAAGACGAATGTGCGCGGCGCTAAAACGAACACCACATATTGAACATGAATCGCCCTCCACCCGTAAAACGGTTGCAAACTTTTCAGACGAACGTGCGGGGCGCTAAGGCGAGAACCACATTTTGAAAGCCACCCGCCCTCCATCCGTAAAAGTGTTGCACACTGTAATGCGAATGCACGCGGCGATAAGGCTAGACCCAACTATTGAAAGCCACCCGCCCTCCATCCGTGAAGCTGCTGCGAACTTTTAAGACGAATGCGCGTGGCGCTGAAGCTAGAGCCACATCTCGAAAAGCACCCGCGTATCGCCCGTGAAGCTCTTGCAAACTTCAGGACCATACACAGCGAGGAAGTCTCAGGCGAAACGCCCAACACGTCCTACCGACGCGTCTTGGGGCGCGACAGGTAGGAGTTCGTTTCAAGGAAAAGGGGTGAGGGTGGCCAAACAGACAGAAACAGGGAGGGCGCAAGGCGAGCAGAAAGGCCAGATGCTTCTTGGATGCCTCTAGGAGTCTCTTCGGATGTCCCTTGAGATCTTTGGAGTCCTCTTAGGGCGTCTTGGGGGCCTCTTGGCGGTCCCAAGGGTCTCTTGGAGCGTCTTGGGTGAATCGGGGGAGCCTGTTGCAGATCTCTTGGGAGCCTCTTGGGGGCTTCTTGGGGGCCTCTTGGGGCCCTCTCGGGGCACTCTTGGGAGCTTTGGGGGTCATCTTGGGGCCACATGGGAGGACATCGATCAGAGAGGGAGGGTCCTCAAGTAGGGCCGCCCCTCGAGAGCCCCTGAACTCGTCTCTTGGGGCTCGCTTGAGACTCGCTTGGGGCGCTCTTTAGGCGCTCTTGGGCGCTCCTGGGGCCGTCTTGGAGCCCTACGGGTCTCTCTTGGGGCTCTCTTGGACCCCCTGGAAGTCATCTTGGGGCCTCGGGGGGCCACCAGCAGCGAAAGGGTGAGACGGCATAAATCGTTGAATTCTTGTTTGGTTTTTGAAAGATTTGGGCCTCTTCGAGGCCGCCTTGGCAGGCTCCGTGGCCTCTTGTAGCCGTCTTGGAGCGGTTTTGGGACTGCTTGGAGCATATTGGAAGCCATCTTGAGGAATCTTGCGCTATCTGGGGCCATTTTGGAGGTCCTCTTGGCCATTTTGGGGACATCTTGGGCCATCTTGGACGCGCCAACGACCCGCGCCCCCGCCCTCCAGACCGAGGGGAGGGGGTATGGGGAGGGGAGGGGTAAGGACACCTCTTGCCCACAGAGCGCAAGCCGTCTCGCTCACTCGCGCCCGCCCTCCCACCACATAAGTACGGTAGAGGGAAACAATTACTGAACACTCTCCCTCCCCCCCAAACTCAATGTTGGCACGCGCGGGGGAGACTGCGGTCGAAGTGCATCTCATCAGACTCACCGCCAACTTTGAACATTGGGGGGAGGGGGAGGCGTTGACCTTTGAATGTGGCATGTGTTTGCTAATTTGTTCCGAGGCCTGTAGCACTCCAGTCTCCGTGTTGGCAGGGGCCCGCAGCGACCACGACACCGGGAACCGATGCAGACGCCAGCCAGGGGTGCGCGACTCCCACGACGTGCGCCGCGCGTGCCCGGGGCGCCCCGCAGCAGCCCTGCCAGAAATCACTACGCAGAGTGGTCGCGGGGCTCCCGCGCATGGCCGCCGTCGGAAAGTCCGCGTATAATGTTTTGTTGTCGTGGAGGAGTGGGGCCTGCGCGCAGCAGGCAATATACTAGCTTGAATGATGTACGCTGCAACTTCATAGCAGTGCACATATGTGAAAATCCTTCCTTTCTTCCTCCTCTTCCTCTCTCCTCCCTGCAAGTCTTCTCTCTTCTGCCTCTACCTCCTATTTCTCCTATACCGCCGCCCTTCCCTCAGCAGGCAATATGCAGGCGTCCCTGCGAAAAACTGGTGCAGCGTCAACGTGATCGCTTGATGCCCGCGCATGGTCCAGATTTTGCTGCAACGTGAGCGTTGTATCGTTTTTAACCAGGGGTGGTTCGGGGTGTTGGCGTTGCGAACAGCAGGCAATATGCCCGCCTCTCCGCCGTCCCTGTCCAATCCAACGCAAAGTGATCGCGGTGCGTCGGCGCATGATCCAGACTTTGGTGCAAAGTGAATGTTGTATTGTTTTTTTGCAAGGGATGGTGGGGGTGTTGGCGTTGGAAACAGCAGGCAATATGCCGCCCCCCCGCCGCCCTTGTCAAAAACCAATCCAAAGTGATTGAGGTGCGTCCGCGCATGAGCCTGATTCTGGTGCAACGTGTATTTTGTTCAGTTTTTTGACAGTGGGGGGGTGCGCATGCGTCCGGGTTGGCTGCTGGTCCGGTAGGGGAGGGAGTATTTATTCTTAGGGAACGTTGATCAAGCTACCCCATGCCGCAAGCCGTGTCACTCACTCCCACCCGCCCTGCCACCACAGAAGTAGCACCCGAGGGTCAGCACGGGCACGGGCCACCATCGGCAGCCATCGGGAACCAAGGCAGACGCCAGCCAGGTGCGCGATGCCCGCGAGGTGCGCCGCACGTGCCAGGTGAGCCACGCGCACCAGGTGCGCCACATTGGGAGTAGGTCGACGGCCCCAGTAATCCCTGTCCAAAACCACAGCAAAGTGACGGCTGGTTTGCGAGCGTTGTGTGCGTTGTGTGGGGGTGCACCCGCAATCACTTTGCACCTCTTTGTGACAAGGCCAGTAGGCCTGCGCTCAGCAGGCAGCATGCCGCCTCCCCCCCCCGTCCCTGGCAAAGTTTGGTTTCTTTTTTTTCTTGTAGCGGCTGGTGGGCGTGCGCACAGCAGGCAGTGTGTTGGACCCCGCCGTCTCTTCCAAGTATTTACTGCGTAGAGCTCCCCATATGTGCATCTGTTTGCATGGACCATTCCGCTGTGAGTGTCTAGGCGCAAGAGGTTTCGACTAGAAATGGTTTTGAGTATTGACAGGCTGAGAGTGAATCTAACTGTGAATGAGTTGGGGTGAGAATGGGTCTCAGTAGTGCGAGTGAGTCTATGCGCATGAGTCTAAGTAGATCTAAGCTTAGGATGAGTGTATCTGCACGCCAGTGGCCTGAGCATGGCTGAGCGTGACTGGGTCGAAATGGCTACGCGATACCTCCCTCCATGATGAAGCAAGGAATAGTGGTGCTCATACAAACGCCGTGCGAAACCCTTGCACTTTGTTTGTGCCCCAGCAGGTTTCACGCAGTGGTTGGACCGTGATACAGCCAGCCACGCCGCGGATAGGAGAGGCCCAATCTATAGGAGCATACGTAAACATGCAACATGTTGGAGCCACTGGAGGGAGGCAATCTGTACGACCATACGTAATCACCAGGGCATCGTGCCCCAGGAGAGGCCCACCTTTTGGAACATACGGCAACACTCAGGATTGGAGCCACCGGTGGGGAGCAATCTATAGGAACATATGCAAAACACCAAGGGTCCGTTTCCAGGAGATGCCCAATTTATAGGAACATACGTTAACAGGTGGGACTGGAGCCACAGGGGAGGGGCAATCTATAGGAACATACGTACCACACCAGGTATTCGTGCCCCAGGAGATGCCCAATCTATAGGACCATACGCGAATCACAAAGGATTGGAGCCACAGGGGAGGGGCAATCTATAGGAATACACGTAGCACAAAGAGGGGGGTGATGACTAGGGGTGTGTGGATATCATGGCGTGGGCCATGATATGTCCCCAGATTTCATGGCGCCTCTTCTTATTTCATTACGTCCCTGGCCCCCCCGCTGGGCCGCGCACATGCCGCCGGTCATGATTTGCACCCCCCCCTCTTGGACACCCCCCTCTTGGCCGCTCCCGATCAGACCTCCTCCGATGTTTTTATTTTTTGTTTGTCAATGAGCGGCCCAGAGCTCCCGACCCCCTCCCTGGGGGTAGTTTTGCGTCACTTTTACGACGCCAGGGCCCAATCGCGGGCCCTGGAGGCCGAAGTCGAGGAGGAACGCTGGGACAGAAAAGATCATACCCTCAGGGATCTGGGCTTCTGTTCCCCCAGGCGCCTGGGGCGCCAGCGCCCGGAGGCCGTTTTTTTTATTATCCCCTGGCGATACTGGGCGTGGCCGGTGGGGGTGGAAGGGGGGGCAGGGGGCTGGTCGAGTCACGATTCGCGCAGGCGCCATCTGGGAATGCTTCAGAAGGTCTCATCCCCAGCGCCGGCGCGAAGGGACGAGAGGGGTGGGCGTGGCTGGTCACGGGCGTGGCCGCGAATGATGAACAAAAAGTGTGCTCGCCACGCCGAGCGCCGGTGCCCGCCGAGCTCCTCGTGGAGCTGGCCGGCGCACACGCCGCCGCCGCCGCGCCCGCGGCAGTCCTCCGAGGAAGGCTTCGGGCGGGAGTCGTCGCGCAGGCTCGCGGGTGACTTCGACGCCTACGGCGAGGTCGTGGTGGAGGCTGCCCCCCCCCCCGCCTCGCCCTCTCCTCCTCCCCCTCGCGCGCCGGCTCCTCGGCGCCTCTGCCGCGGACCCTGCCTCGGGGCGGCCGCCCTCGCGGAGTGGCGGGGCCCTGGCTCGGTGCGGCCTCCTCCTCCAGGCGCTGCTGCGCCCTCCCCGCGCCTCTCCGCGCTCGCTGCACGCCGCTCCGCCAGGGCTGGCGCGCCGGGCTGGTCCGAACGGAGCCGAGCTCTCTGGGCGGGGGCGTTCGTCAAGGAGTGTGCCCGGGAGGCTGCAGAGCCTGGATGATTCCGGAGGCTGCTGAGGGCGGCGGTGATACCCGTGGCCAAGCCTCAACTGTGGTTCCAATGGCTTTCAGACCCTGGGTGGTTCCTCAGCCGATGGTTCTTTGTCCAATGCCCCCACCGTAGCGCTATGAGGGGCTCGAACCTGGTGGTGTCGAGGTCAACCACGCCAGAGTTCGCTTCTTCTCTTTCTCTTTCTTCTTCTTCTTCTTCCTCCTCCTCCTCCTCCTCTTTTCGTTCGTTGTCGTCGTGTGTGCAAGTAAGCTTGCTTTCGCAGATCAGCGGATATACAAGAAGATGCCCCCACCGCAGAGGTGGTGGCGAGACGGAGCGGGGGTGGAAGCGGGGCGGCGGCAGCGGCAGCGGCAGCGTCAAGCGGAGACGCCGTACGCCCCCCCCCCCCCCAGCTGCGGACCGCTGCCCTGGCTCTTACCTCTTGGGGGCCTCCTGGGGGCCTCTTGGGGGCCTCCTGGGGGCCTCTTGGGGGCCTCTTGGGAACTCCTGGGGGCCCCTCGGAGCCGAGGGCTCGAGATGCCTGTTCGGGTTCACCACCTGGGCCCCCCTCCTGAGGCTGTCTTCGGGCTTGCCTGGGCCGTCTTGGGCGCGCCTCTTTGGGCCCGTCTTGCCGTGTGCGACGGCGGCGGCCCTCCCGCCGGGCCCACGGCCGCGCCCCCCCTCCCCCGCGCGTCCCCGGTGGGCTCCTCCCGCGTGTGGCCCGACGTTTTGCCACCGGCGGGGGCACCCCCCCCCCAGGCGCGGCAACCGGCGGGAAGAGAGGCCCCGCGCAGTACCCCCGAAAGAGTGCGCCACGCCAGGGGTGGGGGGTGGGGGGTTGGGGGGGGGGGGGGGCGCCCCCCCGGGGTGGGGGGTGGGGGGGGGGGGGGGGGGGTCACCACACCAAACCAAAAAACCACCCCCAAAGGCCAACCCGAAAGCTCTTCAAAATGCCCTACCATTTCCAGTGGACAGTGGGGGGGGGGGGGGATCGGGATGAGGAGGAGGGGAGGAGGGGGAGGGGGATCGGGATGAGGATAAGGAGGAGGAGTGAGACGGAGGGAGGAGGAGGAGGGAGGAGGAGGAGGAGGAGAAGGAGGGAGAGGAAGGAGGAAGGAGGAGGAGGAGGAGGAGGAGGAGGAGGAGGAGGAGGAGGAGGAGGAGGAGGAGGAGGAGGAACATTGAAAAAACACATGGTCCCCGTACCTCCCCCAACCCGAAATCCGGGTCAACTTCGCGTCTTCGGGTTGGGTCGGGGTGGTCTGGTAGGTCGTCGTGGGGGGGGGGCTGCCGTTGTCTCGGGCTGGCCCTCCTCCGGCCAGCGCTCGCGCTTCTCCTCCCTCCCCCTCCCCCTCGCGACTGGGGAGTTGGGCGTCGGGAGGGGCGGGGGGGCCTCCGAGCGACTGCAAGGGAGCAGGGTGGGGGTGCGGGGGGGGGGGGGGGTCGGCCGCGCGGGCGTTCGGGCACAGGCTGCCCGCGCTGGGTCGGCACGGGAGCGCCCCCCCTTTTTCCCGCGCAGGCCACGACGCCAAGGTCGGCGTGCCTTCGTGCGTAAAACGCCTTCGCCTTCGTAAACAGAGCGCGTCAAGAGCAAGTCCGCAAATCAAAGCAAGGAGTACTCGTAAAGTAAGCATATCACGATGAAGCATGTACGCGTTGATAATCTTATCCGATCGCTCGGGAGCCGACCGCGAGGATCACAACGGAATGATCCTCCCGAGGATCCTTACAGTTCTCGTCCTCTCGAGGATCCCCAGCGCTTCCGTGTCCCGACGGATCCTCCCGATCATTTGGGTATGTCCAAGAACTCCCAGTTCTTTCTCTCCCTTCAGGATCCCCGTGCCGCCGCTTCCCGACGGCTCCTCCCGAGCATCCAGTGAGCTCTAGAAGCCTCCGGTCTTTCCTTCCGCATCCCCCGAGGATCCCCGTGTCCCAGGTCCTCCGCGCGGACTGCAACGTCTGAGGAGCCCCCTCTCGCGGCGGCGCCCGGGCATCAGCTCGGGGGCAGGGCCGCAGCGCATCATGCCCGGGCGACGAGGAAGCTTCGCAGGCATGGCGGGCGCGGCCAGGCCTGCCCGCGCCTCCTCGTCTGCAAGCCGCGCCGCATCTGAGTCATCGGCGATTGCCGTGAGGTCGTCAGCGGTCGATGTGGAGGACGTAGTAGGTATGTTTAGTCGCCCTCGCTCGCAGAACTGCGCTCGTGAGGCTGCACTTCAATGCGAGTGTATGCCTATCTAGGAAGGGCGCAGCTGACAATTCGCACGGGGGTCTCAGCGATTCCTTTCTGATATTTTGTCGCCATTCACGCACGCAAGCGAATCAGGCTTGCCGAGTGCCTTTCCCGTGGTGGGCCCAGACTCGTGTGGCTGTCGCCTCTCCGCTGGGCCTCCCATGGAAATGCTCTGGACTGGGATTCCTGGCCGTGCTGCTCACGGTCGTGACATTGCAGGTCATTGAGCGCACGGGAGTACACTGCGCGGTAACATTCCAATGCCAAGCCTGAGCCTGAACGTGGTGCGCCCTACCCTTCTGCTCGGCCAGCTGCAGGTCCAACGTCTCATGTAGGACCCGCAGCGGTTTGCATCCCAGCGCTGGCGCAGCACGATGGAAGTAGGTCGAGTACTCAACGAGACGTGCATGCTGTTTTGTGACATTTCGGAAGCTTGGAGCTCCCAAAAGATCCTGCGGTTCTGGTGCTCCCTACGGGAGCACCGCGGCAGCTAAAAATCGAGATCAATCGATGCCGCGGCTCACAGACATCCAGGGCCGTGCCCTCAAGGTTTCCTCCGCGACAAGCGCTTTGGCTCAGCGCTCATCTCCTCGGACTGGCCACTCCTCATATTCCGCACCCATTCGACCAACCCTTTTGGCGATAATGAGCTTTGAGGATGAGGAAAGACGGAGCACGTGTGGATCTTGCATTTCACGTTTCGCTCCGCATTTGTGCACGGATCTCTTCTCTTTGCTTCGCACGCGCAGTCGCACTCGCACGTGGGAGCATGCCGTCGTCCCGTCCAGCAGTCCACGAGGGCCCTCGAGGACGGATCCCCCCCGTCCAGGGACCCTCGGAAAGGCAGAGACAGGCCGGGCGGCGCGCCGAGGGGGGAAGGCCGAGGGGGCGGGCCGTCCCAGAAGGCTCAGAAGGCCTCCGGCCTCCCGATGCGCTCTCTCAAAGCCTCCTCCGCAGCCCCGCCCGCCTTCTGAGCAGGCCTGGCCTCTCTTCCTTCCCCCCCTCGGCGCGCGGCCGAGGAGGGGAAACGGGAACCGAGGAGGCACGCGGCGAAGCAGCTGATGCCGGGCGCGGGGGGATCCGGCCGGGCCCCACAGCAGGGCAGCGGGGCCCGAACGAGCAGAACTGCGGGCACCGGGCAACCTTGGAATGATGAGCGAGACTGGCGAGTCTGCTCCGATCAGTCAGACAAGGCCCAGACATGCGCTGGCGTCGTGCAGGAGTCACGACGGCGTTCTTCCGGCTGTTTTCGGCCTCTGGGGCCCCTCGCCGGGCCCCGGGACCGTGGATTCACGGCCCCTCTGTTCGAACAGAGCTGCTCGGGGCGAAACGCGGGCCCTGGGGTAAAGGGTCGGGACTTCCGGGGGCCCTGTGCTGAAACAGTAGAGATATCGGAGGTCTGGAGAGGCAGCCAGTCGAAGCTCTTCGTGCTGTGAGTGCCCTCCCTCCTCGTCCTCTCCGCGGCCGCGCCCCGCCTCGTTCCCCCCTTCTTTCCGCCCGGCTCACTAGAGCGCGCGTGCGGATCGCCTCGGTTGCGCTGCGACGGAAAACGTCTGGGGAGGTAGCTTGTGATCGCCCATCACGTGAACCGGAGCTATTCGGGGACGGAGCCGGGCGAAGGCAATCGGCGGCGGGCGAGATATTGCGCGAGGGTCGGGGGAAGTTTGAGCCGAGCGAGGACGACGGGCGGTGGGTTAGGCACAGTGCCAGGGTCGATTAGGATGGATAGTCGGGGGCAGCGCCGGGGGACAGCAGCTGCCAGCGGGCCAGGCACAGCAGGGGAGCTGGAGGCAGTCGTGGGCGCAGTCAGACAGAGGCATGCGGCCGCGGACGAGGTACAGCATGCGAGACCGGGGCCGCCGGGGACAGAGCCAGACAGAGGCCGTCGGCAGCGGGCGGGGGCACCGCGGGGAGAGCGGGGGACCGTCGTGGAAGGGGCCGAACGGAGGCAGTCGGCGGCGGACGGGGCGCAGTGCCGGTGCCGCGGGCGTTCGGCGTTGAGAGCCAAGCGGGGGTGATTGCGCTGGGGTGTGGTTTGCGATCGGTATGACGCTGCGCCGAGGGTTCGATGGTACCTGGACGGGGCGTGGAGAAACCATTTTTTGGAGGTCCTAACCTGCCCCCGGGGCGCGGGTTGCAAACCGCACCCTTTGGTCACCACACCCTTCGGAGTCGCCGAGCCGAGCAGGGGAAGCAGGCTCTTGGCCTCCGTCCGCGGGAAGCGGCAGCAGGGCGCCCCACGGGCCTGGCGGCTCCCGTTGGGGAGCCCAGCGGGTCAGCTGGGAGCTCCGCTAATTCGTTTCTGCGTCTCAGCCTGGGCCGTGCTGCCCGACGCCTCCTCCTTCACGCCGCTCCGGCAGAGACACTACCAGGCTTGCTCCGAGTTCCCGTCTGGGGATGCTCTTAGCCAGGACCCTCGCTTTGCTCATGGATAGGGGTGGGGGCGCCATGCTCTGGCGCCCTGAACAGTTGTGGCCGCACTTTCAGTCCAGCCCCATAGAAGCACGTGTTCGGTCACCGTCATGACCCGTCATCGCCCACCAATCACACCACTACCACTCCACGAGTCTTCACCATATCGCCACCAGTAATCACCGCAAGCCACCGCCGTCAGACGCCACCATCGCATCGCTTCCAACACCGCCACCATCACAATAACTAGCACAACTACCGTTGTTGGCTATCCCCATGGCTTGCTTTTCATATACTATGAATGCGGATGGCCAGACGGGGAGCGGCTTATCGTAGTCATCACGGTTAGCCCGCGTCATGAACCAGCAATTGTCATCAATGGATCGTCCCCGTAATCAGGCAGTTACCACGAGAACCCGAGCCATGTAAGATTTTCTATTGTATCGCCAACGACAGCCAAAAGGCGTACCACACATGGGGGGAGTTCGCGCAGTTGTTTCGTTTATGGTGTTTTGTTGCGATGCCCGAGTATCCATCTGCGCTGCCGCGTAACCCGCCACTGCGCCAGGGTGGGCGCGTCTGCAAGAGAAGGTGCTGCAAGGGGCGGAGGAAGGGTGGGGGCCAGAGGGGTGGGGGCCACCTGGGATGGGCTAGGTAACACGGAACGCTCCACTGGGACTTTCGACGTCGGCATAATTTTCTGATTGGGAAGCAAGAGCCGCAGGGACGCGGCCCACATGATAAGCGCATGTTAATCTCGATGCACCAGGGCCTTAGCTGTTGCTTTGCAGGAGGCGTAACTAAGCCAAGATGCAAGCGCCCGACACGCACCACATGCTTCAAGCGCGGGGCGGATACCCTTTGTCTTCGTGGGTTGCCGTCTCTTTGTAATCGGGACCGTGCCTGTCCGTGCTGCTCCGTCCGTGCAGTCTCAGCACATTTGCAGTCTGTCTGCCCTACCGTCCACTCCACGACTCTCGCTTAGCTGTCTGTGCTTCAACGCTTTCACGAGCTGTGTGCTGCCTGCCCACCTCACCCTCATGGGGTGGGGTCGCTTCGGCGCTCGACGCCCTCGGACTGTGGGGGCCGAGAGGAGGACAGGCGAGCAGCTGTCGCAGAAACGCGCGGCGGAGTGTGCTTGCCGAGCGGAGGGCCCGGTGCCACGCCCTCTGCCCTGGGGGGCGTCTCCAGGCAGCCCCTGGAGACTCCCCTTGGGGCGGGCGGTGAGGTGGGCATGCTGGGGGCCACTGGGCGGGGGCACTATCGGGGAAGTCTCCTCCTCCTCCTCCTCTTCTTCCTCCACCCACTTGGCTTGCCAGGCATTGCACGCCGCCTGGCTGTCCGTCCGTCCGTCTGTCTGTCTGTCTTCCCGGCTCTCTGAGCCGCGGCGCTTTGAGCTTCTTAGCTCGGGGACGCGTCGGCCACCGCCGCCCTCTCCCTTGTCGGTGGCCCTGACGAGGTTGGGGGAGAGGGTGCCGAAACGCGCCCAGAGTCCAGCAAGGCATGAGGGTGCAAACCCGACTTGTCTGGCTGATGCTCTGGGGGGGCCTGTGCTCAGGGGAGGCTGCAGCACCGCTCAACGATGTGCTGTTTAACCGAACCTGCAGGGTGGGCCCTTTTCCCAAATCCGTGCTTCGGTGCGGATCGTAAGCGCGCCTCGTCTCCGTCGTCGTCGTCGTCGGCGTCGTCGTGGTCGTGTGCGTGTTGCTCTGCTCGGGATTCTGTTTCCCTTATGCAGTGACCACCCACTTGGCTTGCCAGGCATTGCACGCCGCCTGGCTGTCCGTCCGTCCGTCTGTTTGTCTGTCTTCCCGGCTCTCTGAGCCGCGGCGCTTTGAGCTTCTTAGCTCGGGGACGCGTCGGCCACCGCCGCCCTCTCCCTTGTCGGTGGCCCTGACGAGGTGGGGGAGAGGGTGCCGAAACGCGCCCAGAGTCCAGCAAGGCATGAGGGTGCAAACCCGACTTGTCTGGCTGATGCTCTGGGGGGGCCTGTGCTCAGGGGAGGCTGCAGCACCGCTCAACGATGTGCTGTTTAACCGAACCTGCAGGGTGGGCCCTTTCCCAAATCCGTGCTTCGGTGCGGATCGTAAGCGCGCCTCGTCTCCGTCGTCGTCGTCGGCGGCGTCGTCGTGGTCGTGGTGCGTGTTGCTCTGCTCGGGATTCTGTTTCCCTTATGCAGTGACCACCCACTTGGCTTGCCAGGCATTGCACGCCGCCTGGCTGTCCGTCCGTCCGTCTGTCTGTCTTTCTTCCCGGCTCTCTGAGCCGCGGCGCTTTGAGCTTCTTAGCTCGGGGACGCGTCGGCCACCGCCGCCCTCTCCCTTGTCGGTGGCCCTGACGAGGTTGGGGGAGAGGGTGCCGAAACGCGCCCAGAGTCCAGCAAGGCATGAGGGTGCAAACCCGACTTGTCTGGCTGATGCTCTGGGGGGGCCTGTGCTCAGGGGAGGCTGCAGCACCGCTCAACGATGTGCTGTTTAACCGAACCTGCAGGGTGGGCCCTTTCCCAAATCCGTGCTTCGGTGCGGATCGTAAGCGCGCCTCGTCTCCGTCGTCGTCGTCGTCGTCGTCGTCGGCGTCGTCGTGGTCGTGGTGCGTGTTGCTCTGCTCGGGATTCTGTTTCCCTTATGCAGTGACCACCCACTTGGCTTGCCAGGCATTGCACGCCGCCTGGCTGTCCGTCCGTCCGTCTGTCTGTCTGTCTTCCCGGCTCTCTGAGCCGCGGCGCTTTGAGCTTCTTAGCTCGGGGACGCGTCGGCCACCGCCGCCCTCTCCCTTGTCGGTGGCCCTGACGAGGTTGGGGGAGAGGGTGCCGAAACGCGCCCAGAGTCCAGCAAGGCATGAGGGTGCAAACCCGACTTGTCTGGCTGATGCTCTGGGGGGGCCTGTGCTCAGGGGAGGCTGCAGCACCGCTCAACGATGTGCTGTTTAACCGAACCTGCAGGGTGGGCCCTTTCCCAAATCCGTGCTTCGGTGCGGATCGTAAGCGCGCCTCGTCTCCGTCGTCGTCGTCGGCGGCGTCGTCGTGGTCGTGGTGCGTGTTGCTCTGCTCGGGATTCTGTTTCCCTTATGCAGTGACCACCCACTTGGCTTGCCAGGCATTGCACGCCGCCTGGCTGTCCGTCCGTCCGTCTGTCTGTCTTTCTTCCCGGCTACTTTCTTCGCTCCTCTCTGAGCCGCGGCGCTCGTTGAAGAGTTCTTAGATAGGGGAACGCGGCGGGCACCGCCCCGCCCTCTCCATTGGGAGATTGTGGCCCTGACGAGATTGGGGGAGAGGGTGCCGAAACGCGACCAGAGTCCAGCAAGGCATGAGGGTGCAAACCCGACTTGTCTGGCTGATGCTGTGGGGGGGCCTGTGCTCAGGGGAGGCTGCAGCACCGCTCAACGATGTGCTGTTTAACCGAACCTGCAGGGTGGGCCCTTTCCCAAATCCGTGCTTCGGTGCGGATCGTAAGCGCGCCTCGTCTCCGTCGTCGTCGTCGTCGGCGTCGGCGTCGTCGTGGTCGTGGTGCGTGTTGCTCTGCTCGGGATTCTGTTTCCCTTATGCAGTGACCACCACCACCACCTGCTCCTCCTCCTCCTCCTCCTCCTCCTCCTCCTCCTCCTCCTCCTCCTCTCCGTAGCCATTTTGGCTCAAGACTTCTGCACTGAAGGGCTCCGCGCCCTTGTGCCAAACTGGATACCGCTGTTACCGCGGCAGTCTTCAACGTTTTCGCCTGGTTCGCCCCAGGCAGAGCGCTGTGCGGTCCGCCCCGCACGGCCCAGCCCCGCCACGGCCCGCCTGTCAGGCCTCGCGTGGTGTCTCGTGTGCGCGCTCGGTCTGCTCATCCGCCCGTCGGCATGGCTCCCAGGTCGCGCAGTGCGGAGGCAGGCCCATGGTATTGTAAATGGTGCAAGCATGAGCCCACTGGCACGAGCTGGATCAATCGTGGCGATCAGAAGTGGTGTGGCAAGTGTGGCATCCCGAAAGGCTCAGCTTTCCAAGGTGTCCCTCCGCCCAAGGTCCCCGTCCAGCGGTCTCACGACATGGCCACGAAGCGTGAAAAGCTTCTCACGAAGCAGTTGGAAGAATTGCAGCAGCGCATGCAGAAGATGGTTGTCAGTCAAAATGGTACGGTTGTGGAGCCCAAGGAGCCTGCGATCCCTCCCTGGGCTAAAGGCACTGACGCTGCTGTCAAACGTGAGCGCCTCACCAAGCTTGGAAGTCTGCTCAAGCTCCTGTCGGGGCCTGAGGACGCCGAGCAGCGTGCGGTGTTCGAGGCCGAGAAGCAGCGCCTGCAGGCTGAGTTGCAGGCCGACAAACCGCTGGAGGCCAACTTGCAGGGGCTCACCAGCCAGCTCAAGACTGCTCGCACGAAGCTGTCCAATCTGGCTGTCAAAAAGGAGGCTGCTCGCTCTACCCTGGAGAAGGCCAAGCAGGCCCTTGCGCAGGTCGAGCAGGACGAGCAGGACGCTAACAAGCACATCGTGGAACTTGAGGAGCGGTTGCGCCATGTGGTCGTCCCTGCCGTGCAGTTTGATGACAAAGCACCTTCCCTGTCCACCTTCCTGCCAGGCATGGAGGCCACGGTCGAGCAGTTCGACGCCGTTGTCCGTGCGTTGGGCGGGTCGGAGCGGTTCAGCACCGACCTCATCGCCATGCGCGCGCTGGTTCAGAAGCTCAAGGAAGCCCCAGAGGCCACTGTTGCACCCGAACCGTCTGCTCCACAGCCTGAGGCTCACACCGCTCCTCCTGAGGCTCGAGCACCCATGGACGTCGACGATGCTGAGGATCAGGCTCGTGCTAATGCTCACGTTGATGGCCTGGATGGTCGCACATGCCGTGAACATCTCAAAGAATGTGGCATTGATGTCGACGTGGGCGGTGAAGACGACGAGCTTGATGAGCCCAATGTGCGAGAGCTTCGTGATAAGCTCAAGCGTCACTTGGCACAAGTTCAATCGCTTACGAAGAAGTTCAAGACCAGTGGCAAGACCGCTGCGTAAAGTGATTGGGTGGTTCGCTGTGGTTTTGTTCTGTCTATGCCATTACCCTAGTGCAATGGCGACGCCTACTGCCCAAGATGAGCTGACCTCAGCTCCCAGACGTTCTCTCATGGACGATCCTGATGTTGATCCTTTTGAATTTGATGAAGCATCTGACAGTCAGCCATATCTGCCAGTCACATGCGACCAGGTTGCCCCTTCTGCGTCTTCTGCAAGGGCGGCCGCTGCGACTGCGGGTGCTACGTCATCGTCTCGGTCGCTACACTCACCTGTCACCAGGTGGCAGGCAGAGAGCGCCACATGTGCGCCTATTGCTTTGACGATATCGGCCTCTTGCTCGACGAGGGTGGCTGGCTCTACTGCTGGTTGTTCCGATGGCATGAATCTTTTAGGCCCTGGCAGCACGCACTGCTCACCCCGCTCGCCCGATGGGCAACGCGTGGCAGAGGGTACCGACTGCCCAGGGGTTCGTCGACCTGATGTCAAGGTTGCTGGCCAGGCGAAGGGCAAAAGCGACTCGTATATCGTGACGCTCAACTCCAGCTCGCTGGGTCCACTGTGCGACTACCTTGTGGACAGCACTGCTCATGTGGTGCTTGCGCAAGAGCGCCATGTTCCTGATACCAAGCTTGGCGAGCGACAGTCGCAAGTTGAAGATACTGGCTGGAGAGGGCTCTGGGGCCCCGCCGTGCCCAATCAGGATGGAGGGCCTGGCACCACAGGCGGCGTTGCAGTTTTGGTCAGGTCACATATTCCTATCAAGGCGCCCCCTGGCTGCGCTAGTCACGTCCTTGTCCCTGGCAGGCTTGTGGCTGCACACGTCATGTCTTTTCTGCCTGGCGGTGTCGTCTTCCTGTCGGCTTATCTCAAGGACGGCGAAGGATATGGACCGTGCAACGCCGAGTTGGTGTGGGAGATTATCGAGTACCTCTCAGTGCTCAACGGCATGCAGATCCCGTGGGTCATCGGCGCCGATTTCAACATGCCGCTCGCTGCCCTGGACCAGTCCGACTGGATCGCGGCTGCTGGCGGACTGGCTTTCGTTTCTGAGGCGCCCACCTGCAGGCAGGTTTCACCTGGCACGCACATCGATTATTTTATTTGTAGCAGTTGGCTTGCGCCAAAGCTTAACCCCCGCACGTGTGTGTTGGAGGCTGCTACCACCTACCCTCACCTCCCCGTCCAGCTTACTTTGAGGGCTCGGGAGGCCCCGGTTTGGGCTCGGGTGGCCAAGGTCCCGAAAGCGTTCCCGTCTACCCCTCCCATAGGCTGTGCTAGACCTCCTATCTACCCGTGGCACGCGGTTTTGTCGACCGCCGCCCCGCAAGTTGATTCTGTAGCCAAGGTCGCCGATTTTTGGGACCTCGTCCTCGAAGGGGTGGAAAGAGAGTTGGCTGCCAGGTGGGACCGCGTTGGCTTAGCCGCCGAGGCCTACGTTGGCCGCAGCGGGCCTCTGGAGGTCCACTTCAAAAAGCTTGTCTGGACTCCCCCCAGAAGGAGGACTTATAAGGATCCGCAGGCACGTGCCTGGGCTGTCGCTCTTGGTTGGGCCAAACACTTAGGCAAGGCCAGAGAACATCTTAATGAGCAAATTAGGCTAATGCAAGAAAACGATGCTCTGTGTTCGCTTGCGACCCTGCAATATCGCAAGCTTCTCACTGCATTTGATGAGTTCGATCGTTTTATGGCCAACATCGCCCGCTGCAAAAAAGTCTTGGGTTGCCTCGACTCGGATGTGCGAGATTTCTTCAATGGCGGCTTCGCCGTCCTCGCACGTCCTGATGTGGCCAGCATGCTCACTACTATTTACACTCGTGCGAAGGCAGCTGTCACTCGTGCGGAGAATGCGGCGTCCCAGGCTTGGAGGCAATGGGCTAGGGACGCCATTTCTGCTGGTGCTTCGAAGGCTCACAGGTTCTCAAAAGTGAAGGCCATCCAAGAGGTTTTAAGCAACCAGGCGCGAGAGGCACCCCACCAGCAGGGCTGCTGATGACGTCCTGAAACTTCTCTTTTATTTTATTTTGTTTTTGTTTGTTTTTTTTTTTTTTTTTTTTTTTTTTTTTTTTTTTTTTTCTTTTATTATTTTTAATTTTTTTTGTTTTTTTTTTTGTTTTCTTTTCTTTTTTTTGTTTTTTTTTATTTTTTTTTTTTTTTTTGAACCTGGAACTGTTTGCGCGGGACCCACGGCTGCTCCGCTCTTGAGTCTCCCCGAGGGTCCACCAGCTGGCCCATGCTGCCGCCCATCGCGGCCGCTCAGGTGGAGGATGCTGTTCACACTTACCCCACTCGCACTGCTGGAGGCATGATGGGTATTCATCCGAGAGCTTTAATCCATTTGCCTAGGCCGGCCTTTTCGGCGATTGCTGAACTCTTTAACCTGTGCGAGCTGCACTTAGCCTGGCCTAGAGAGCGTGTCTGTAATGAGATGTGCCGTCTTGCCAAACCAGATGGTGGGACTCGTCTGATCGCTCTCGTTTCGCTGCTGTGCCGTGTCTGGGGCAAAGTTCGTAAGCCCATCACCTTCGACTGGCAAGAGCGTAATGGCTGCTACGCTGTTTGGGGTACTCGTCGTGGGCACAGTTCCTCAGACAGTGCGTTTGCCCACAACATTGCTGCCGAAATGGCAGCGCTAGTCGGTGATATTTCAATATCTGTCCTCTTAGACATGATCAAATGCTTCGAAATGGTTCACTCGGAGCAGCTGTTGAAAGAGGCTGAAGCGTTACACTTTCCAATGCGGCTAGCTTGGATGCTGGTGGATCTGTACAGGCAGCCACGGCGTCTTCGAGCTTTCGGCAGCTTGTCGCTGCAGTTCTGTTCGCATCAAGGCATCCTTGCTGGGTGCAATCATGCGACAGGCATGCTTTTCCTTCTCACGCTGCGTGCTGTGCGTAGACTCTGTGACATTTCGCCCTGTATAACACCGAGAGCCCTCGTCGACGACATCTCGATTCAGCTTGTCACCTCGGATCCTCGTGATGTGCGTTTCCTGGAGCGTGCCGTGAAAGTGTTCACCGAAGATGCCAAGGTTCTCGGGCTTTACTCCCAGGTCAAAAAGTCGGGGCCCATAGCAGGGAACAAGGTTGCTCGGAAGGTTTTCTCGAAGATGGCTATTCGGCTGCATCTACCTGTTCGTAAATGGATGAGAAATCTCGGGCATGAATTAGCTGCTGGTCGGGTTGTTCGCACTCAGGAGAAGAAAAGGCTACATGCTCTTAAACGTCGCCGTGACAAGTTCATTGCACTGAAACATGCAACTGGCAAGCGTGCAACCCGACTTTGGAGGACTGGAGCTTTCCCAGCGGCTGGGCACGGTGGTTCCGTCTCGGGCATTTCAGACACGGCGCTGAAGTATTTGAGGCAGCTTGCGGCTACGATCGCAGATGCCAAGCAGCACGGTGGCATCACGTCGTATCTGCTGACGCAGGCCGATCCGCTATACGACCCGATCTACGACTCCACTATTTGCGTGTGTGTCAAGTTCGCCACGTTCGTCTGGGACGGAAGGGTTCAGATATCGAGGCTTCAACGTGCGTGGACCTGTTTGAGAGATATCATGTCCGACAACCCTACTTGGCAGCAGGCTCGTGGTCCGCTGTCGGCGGTGTGGCTCAGCCTGCTCCGCATAGGCTGGACGATGGTCAATGCCCACACTTTTCGCAGCGATCTTGGTACAGATATTTCGCTGCTGGTGGTGTGTCCCAGTGATGTGCGAATTGCGATTATCGAAGGGGTGCAGCGGTGGCAGATACGTCGGTTGCAGCAGCACCTCTATAACACTGACCCTCCAGAAGGGGAGCCTTGGTTTCGTGCACTTCGTCATGGTATACGTGCCGTAAAAGACCCGCGTGCTCTTGGGGCCCTTGCTGCCGTCTGGGGGAATGTGGTTCCGCTACCTGCTGCACTGTCTGCTCTGCAATATGATGGGCTACCTGAGTGCCTTGCCTGCTCCGCTCCTCAAGGCACGTACGGACACGTGTGGTATGCCTGCTCTAAGTTCATCACCGACGACGGGGTTGACGCTTTGGGTGACGAGGTTCCTGAGGCCCTGGCTAGGCATAGGCGCGTGTTGATCCAGTCTCGGGCCTCTATAACTGGGGAACCCGATGTGCACTCTAATTATTTAACTTATGGCATTCCTCCCTTGCCTACCAACATCCCCGCTCCGCTAGCCAACCCACCTGTTTTTGAGTTTGGGGACGTCTCTGGGTCCTGGGGCCCTCAGTCTTTCACTGATGGTAGTTGCTATCACTCTGGGGTCCCAGAGGTCCCCAGAGCTGGTTGGAGCGTTGTGCAGTTATTTGATTGTTTGCTTCCCCTGAGGGCCGTATATGGAGCGCTCCCAGGTGAGCGTCAGACCATAGGTCGCGCAGAACGCTGGGCTGTGCGGCAGGGGCTGGCTTTTCACCCGCAGCATCAGAGTATTGTATCGGACCTCCAGGCTGTTGTGCGAGAAGGCAATTCTTGGAGCCAGCATCTCTCCCAAGGCATGTCCAAGCATGCCTCGATCTGGAGGTCCATACTTGATCTTAAGTCAAATCACCCCCAGTTCTCATGGGTCCCAGCCCATCTGAGTTTCGATGACGTGTTGGAGCGTGGTCTGTGTGTCAAAAATTGGGCTGGGAATCTGTGGGCTGACTTTTTCGCCAAACTAGGGGCCGGCTCTCACACGCTTTCTGAGGGTTTTTGCGCGGCTGTGTCGGGTGTTTTTCATTTTTTTTGTCTTGTTTTTTGTTCTCCTTAGTTTGTCCCTCTTTGTTATTTTCTCTTATGATTTTTTCCACGATTGTGTTGTACTTTGTTGTGGGTCAGGGGATTTTAAATATCATAAATCCACGGTGCGATTCATTGCATGGGCTGCCCAACGGCTGCTCGAGTCTGGCACATGGACGCAAGTTGACCCTGATCGTTCCCTCCGCCTCTTGAGAGCCCCTGCCCCTCCGAAGGTCACGGTCACTAGCCATGTGTTGTTTCGCTGTGAGGCCACCAGCACCTATAAGTGCAGGAGCTGTGGCCGTGTTGCTCGCACGTCGGAGTCACTTAAGAGCCTGCTCACGAGTAGAGACACTCGTGACTGTATGCCGTCACCGATCCAGCGACACGTGTGCGACCAGTGGTTTCGTGAGTTTGGGGCTGCGTTTAGGCCCGTGCAGCTGGAAGCGGTGAGGGTTGCTCTGGCTGCTGCTGACGAAGTTCAGCGTGTGTGCACTGATGAGGTCCAAGGTCCCCCAACTCCCGTGGCTGAGCCCGAGCCGTCGGATGAGTTTTCTGCCTTTCGGGACCTTGGGCACGACGTTTTTCGTCACCTACATGTGTACTGTTGCAAGCTGTGCGGGGCTCATGGCTCTCTCGGCTCGCTGCGAAACCTCGCGCAGCAATGCCAAGGAAGATCCAAAGTCCCGAGCACGGCTGCTAATCAGAGAATGTCCATCCGTCGGCTGGAGCGTGGGTGTTACCCCAAGACGGGCGTGAAGATTGCTCTTGACGCCGCCGAGCGCGACGATGACCGCGCGGAGCTCCGCCGAGTTTCCATTTCTTTGAGGCTGCTGGAAGCGGCCCGTGGGCCCGAACCTGCTCCTGATGGAGCGAGTTCGGGCTCTGACTAAACTCGTTTTAGTTTTCTTGGGCTGCCCCCGTCGTCTGTCGCCCGTCGCCTCCCCCCTCCCCCGCCGCACACGTGTGCATCTTCCTGGTGCTCTCGGCGCTGAGGAGGCTGGTGAGCGACGAGGCCAGGCAGGCGGGGCGGCCCCCTTTCGCTCGGCCCACGCCCTTGCGTGAGCTGGGCCTTGCCTGAACTGGACCACCAGCTCGAGGCTTGCCCATGGATTGGTGGCAGTGCGGGCCTCGTCCACTTTCGTCTGCATGTGTGTGTTTTTTGTTTTTGTTGCCGTTGTGGTTTGTATTTTGTATGTCGCCGGTACGTCCGCGCGCCTCCTCCTCCTCCTCCTCCTCCTCCTCCTCCTCCTCCTCCTCCTCCCCCTCCCCCTCCCCCTCCCACTCCTCCTCCTCCTCCTCCTCCTCCTCCGCCTCCTCCTTCTTTTCTCTTTCTTC